TTAAGCCATTTTGGCTTAAGCTTCCGAACTACTCCTCGCTTCCAGGAGGTGCCCCACAGATCTTCGCCGCGCAGACGCCCTGCCCGGGGCAGCGGTGACCCCGCGTCCTTACGACTCGCATCACCCCCGTTACACCGTCCACGGCGGCCTCCGAGGCTGCCGACGTTGCCGCTCTTCCGTCTTCAGTCGATTTGGAAGGCGAACTTGCGGAGCACATCCCAGACTCTAGGGAGGGCGAGACGCCCAGAAGCAGGAGGCTCCCAGGCACTCCAGTGGGCAAGCTCTTTTCGAACCCGTTCGATGAGACTCCCAAGCGCCGCGAGGCGAAGGTGCGCCGCATCCTCGGCCCGCTCAACGTGATGGACGGGCTTGAGACGACGGAGACCTTTGGTCCGCCTCCTCCTTTCCCTCCGGAAGGGCATCGCGACGAGGGTCCGGTCACCATGAAGGGCATCGCGACTCTCCTTCAGCAGCAGCCCCAGCAGCAGCTAGGCCCTGTGACCTCCGCAGTGGAAGGCTTGAGAAAGAACTTCCGCAGGATGGGCAGCCACCTGACGGACCTGAACACGACTCTATCCGAACGTTTGGACTCCCTCGAGAGCCACATGAGCATGACGGGCGTCCGCGTGGAGAAGTTGGAAGTTCTATGCGAAGAACTCCGTGCGCATCAAACGTCTTCCGGCGAGTCGCTTGAGAACACGATCCGGGAGCACGTCGAAAAGTACACGGCCAATCGACCAGCGCAGCATCCAGCTGGGCAAGATCGCATGGGGCGCGCCATCGACAAGCGCGCGGCGACTGCAGTCGTCGGCAACCTGAATGGCCTTCACGACCTGATCGCTGCGACGACGTGGTTGCAGGATAAACTTGCTTCCCTTGGGGGGCCTCGTCCGGACAAGGTCTACTCCAAGGGCGACTTCAGCAGCATCGTCTTCGCCGAGTTCCGCGACGCCGAGGCGCGGAACCTCGCAGTTGAACTCTTGCGCAGAGCGCGCTTGACGTCTGGGGCGAAGCAGGCGTGGGCAAGCCAGGACAAGCCCGCCACTGAGCGGGCCGCCAGAAACTTTTGCTTCGGGTTAAAACGGGTTTTCGAAAAGGAGTGGAACATTCCCTACGCAGTCACCGTGAGCGACGAGGCGCCGTGCACATTGACGGTCGGAGGGGAAATGGCCCTGATAGCGCGCGTTTTTCCGGATAAGGTAGCTTGCGAGTGGCATGATGAATGGGCGGATTGGCGTGAGCTCCACAACGGCCCCGAGGCAGTTGAGCTCCAGAGCAACTCGGACAAGTTAGTGGCCAAAGCGACGGCGGGCATGAAGGGGGGGGCAAGGGCATGACAGCGGGAGGGGGCAAGAAAGGAGCCAAAGGACGTGGTCCAGGATAGGGGTCAGTGAAGACGCCGGTCTCACCACTACTGCCGGCGCGATCGATGGCAGAACTGGGCAAAGCTACCAGCCAGCCTGCACTACGGCAAGAAGATCCTCGACCTCTTCATGGACGCACTCACCTATACCTATTTTCACATACCCGATCTCCCACTTCTTCCCCTTCCTATCTTGGATCCGCGTCGGGGTTGGGCAAAGATACCACCGCCGACAGCGCTCCTCCATCACATTATGAATATGTTGATTTGGATGGTCATCCTGGCGACTGTACCAGAACGCCTTGCGGCATGGGCGTACATACAACGACGAAGATATCACCAAATACGGGCACTGATACTTTTACTTCTCCTCCTTCGGCGCCTTCCCCATAAGGTGGCAATCTTCATGGCGACAGTCGTTGGAAACCGCGCGAGGGCATGCGCTGGGGTTGCCCCAAGAAGCTGTGCTACCCGCTGAATGGACCCAAAATGGCATCTTGGAACGTGGAAGGCTTAGGCTACGACATGGCGAAGCTACCAGAATTGCAATGCCACATGAAACAACATAACATATCTTTACTTTGCATCCAGGAGACAGGCATTACGGAATCCACGCACTTCGTCGACTCTGGTTTCTTGGTCATCTTAGCTGGCACGTCAGTGGAGACTACGTGGCGTTTTTACTCTGGAGTTGGATTCTTAATTGCCCCATTGGCGATCAAAGCGGTCGTCAGTTTCAGGCTGATTTCCGATGGGCTGGCAAGTTTGAAAATCAAAGCCTCTGGTGGGACCCTAACTTTATTCACGTGTTACGCGCCACACGCTGGATACGAGCATGAACAAAGGCGGACGTGGTTCGACGATTTCACAGCGGCGTGGCCGCGGCATGGAGCTCATAACGGTGCGCTCGCGATGGGGGATTTCAATACCCGGCTATATGAACAAGAACCGGGTGACGATCATATCATGGGGAGTTATTTCTACCGCAACGCTTGGCCAAAACGTCGGGACCGACTCAATAGAGAATTGCTGCTCGAATCTTGCCGGGCATCTGACATCAAGACTGCTAGCACGTTCTTCCCGCGCGAGGCCGGCAAGCTCAAGACGGGGCAGGCTGTGGGAGGAGAAGACTTTGCTCAAATCGACCATTGCCTAATTGATGGGCCACTTTTGGGGAAAATACGCGATGCGCATTCGGATCGCACCGTGCCGCTGGCGAGCAGACATTTCCTTCTAGTAGTGCACTCAGGCATCGACTTACACGCAATGGACAAACATACGGCGAAGCAGAATTTCGACCTCCGGGAGCTTATGACGGACAATGCGATCAAGATGCAGTTATGCCGGTACTTCCGCGAAGCCAACGAAACGACCACTGGGAGGGCAGCCGCGATCAACGAGCACGCTTCCAAGGTGAATGAGGCGATGCTCGCAGCGTCAACTGTCCTCGCGCGCGCGCGGAGGTCAGCGCGCAAGCCAAGGATATCACGCGCCACAGTGGCTCTACTGGAGCAGCGCGACCGCGCGGGACACTGCGAACATGCACTGAACAAGCGCGTCCGGGGAAGTGTCCGGGAGCAGCGGGTCTTGGAACGCCGTGCGCAAGTTGAGGAAAGGCAAAGCGATGAAGCCTGTTCAAATAAGGGATGCGCACGGGCAGCTAGTGGACAGCGATCATAGAGCAGACACTTTGGCCGACTATTTTGAAAAAGTGCAGTGGGCAGTGAGTTTTCCTGACCTTGCGGTCGAGGAGAGGCCCAGGATGGGAGAAACCCTCCCTGTAAATATTGCTGCGTTTTCCATTTGCGAATTGGCAGCTGCTCTCAGAGCTCTCTCCACAGGGAAAGCCGCGGGCGTCGACGAGGTGCCTCCAGAATTTTATAGATCTTTGTTGTGCGATTCGGAAGCGATGCAATCGTTGCTGTCTCTCTTCCGGCGGTGCTGGGATGAGAAAGCCATCCCAGATGAATGGCAAATAGCTGTAGTCGCCCTCTTGCACAGAAAAGGGGACACTAGTCTGCCTGAGAATTACAGGCCGATATCTTTATTGCCCGTTGCCTACAAACTCCTGGCCTGGATGATGCATAAACGCTTGCAAAAAGGAGGCGCGGAGAGCCGAATACGGAATTCGCAGTTCGGTTTCCGACCAAACCGGAGCGCCTCCCAAGCCATAGCTATTGTTAGACGCATGTTTGATGCAGCATAGGCGGCGAAAGCCCCTGGACTCATCGCGGTTGTCTTAGATTGGGCGAAAGCCTTCGACAAGATAAAGCACGACATGTTAATAGGAGCTCTTACTAGGTTTGGCATCCCACAACAGATGGTGGACATGATAGGAAGTATTTATTCAGCACGGCGATTTATTCTGCAGGATTCCGCGGGTAACTCGTCGCAGCGGTGCCAAGCATCAGGCATAGCACAAGGCTGCCCCCTCTCGCCGTATTTGTTCATTATCGTGCAGAGCGTGATGTTTTCGACGTTGATCGCGCAGTGGAGGGCGTGCACGCAGATGTCGTCGAACCAGAATTTTTAGTTTGCCCAGACATTTTATACGCATATGATACAATGCTTGCGAGTAGCAGCGCCCAGAAATTGCAGACGTTGCTAGACGCTGTGATTGGCGAAGGAAAAAAGTACGGCCTCGAATTAAATTGGGCCAAGACGGTGGCCATTAATATACAGAACAATGGGGTTGTCAAGACCCCCTCGGGCACCCCAGTGGTCCCTGCACGGCAAGTTGTTTATTTAGGTGGTCTTCTAAACGCAGACGCCACCGCCAAGCCGGAGCTAACGCGGCGCCTCGGAGAGGCTCGCGGTGCGTTCACAGCCTTACAGCGTTGTTGGTCACACTCCAACATTACGAGATCTAGGAAGCTCGAGCTGTACAGTGCGATTGTGCTTCCAAAGCTTTTATACAATTTAGAAACACTGTGGCTTTTAAAAGCAGACAAAAAGAGATTAGACAGTTTCAATGCGCAGTGTCTCAGGCGTATTTGCCGCATTCCACATTCATATTTGTCGAGAGTGTCCAACGACCGAGTTTTGAACATATGTCGAGCCCGCCCTCTCAGCGAGGCGCTTTGTGAGAGACAGACTTCGCTATGCAACAAGATCGCAGGGTTGTCACAAGACCACCCGCTGCGAGCTCTCACCTGCAAGCCCGGATCATATTTACCTCGGGTCTGGGACCAATGCTGGAAGAGAGGCAGACCGAAGCAACAGTGGGCTTCGTGTGTTTACAAGTTTCTGCCACAACAGTGGTCCTGAGGTGGTCCCTCCCCCTTCTTCGTTCCCCCTCCCTCCGCCCCCCCCCTTCCTCCCCCTCCTCCCGCGTGGCGCCGATACGTTTGCAGGTGAATTCGTATCCTTCTCACTGCCCGCATTTCTCTGCCACACGCATAACTTTTTATCTTGCCAAAGCGCCGTCTGCGCGCCAGGCTTGACTGACTGACTGGCTCCTCTCCCTCCCTTTCTTCTCTCCTCCCGCATTTTTTCCTCCTTCTCCCCTCCCTTTGCAATCCTTCTTCTCCTTCTCCTCCTTCTCCTTCTCCTCCTTCCACATTGTACTCCTCCCTTCTCCCTCCTCCCTTCTCCCTTCTTCTTCCCCGCCACCTGGTTTCCACGCTCGCCCCGGGAGGAGCACGGACTTCCAGCGCGTTGCCCGCAGGGAGTCCATCGTGGAGCACTTCTTCCAGAGCCCCGAGGAGCTGCGATCGACAGACTCGGGGCCGCCAGACCGCCCCTCCGCTGTGAAGCATGACGGCTGACAGTTTCCGCCCACCTTCAACCGCCTCTGGGGGCTTTCTGGGGGTCCTCTGGGATTGCTTCCCAGATCCGCGTTTCAAGTCGGATAGATGCCTTCTGTGGAGGCAACCGGCGCCAAGTTTGTGAAAGTGGCGCGCCAGAGCCAGACGCCAACACCAAGATCCCTTGTGGAGCAACACAATCAGAGCCGCTGTTGAATGCTGCCGCCCGTGTCTTCGGGCTCACGTGTCTCGCGTCGACGAATGCCAGCCCTGCGCGCGTGGGAGCAGCGCGGGCCGTCTCTCTTGCCCCCCATGAACTTTAGGATTTCCGTGGGCCGCACAAAAAACGTGGCCCGCGCGTACTTCACCGACCCCATGAACCCCACGAGTCCCAGAAACATTTCCTGGGCCACATGGGTGCCGCAATGCGCATGGGCCCAATGCGCCGCGCGAGCCCAGCGAGCCGGGCGGGACCCATGGTCCCCCTGAGTCGTCAGGGCCTCGTCGGGTTTATGGGCCTTGCAAGCCCGCGGACCAGGACAACCTCATGGGGGTTAGGGGCGCCATGAGCCCCGTGGGGCGTTTGTTTAAACATGCGAGTCTTATGGCATGTGAGCTCGGCGAGCAACGCGAGCGTGCCTCCACCGAGGGTAGATGCTTCCAATCTCGGAGATGGTGGTACTGTTCGGGCTCCTAGGTGGCCGACATTGTTACCACCAGCGCCGAAATCTGGGATCATCTTCCCCCCGTGGAGGCACCCCTCTCGGGGGCAACGATAGAGGGGGATAGGCACAGGGGGGGCTGCATCGACCCCCGCGCCACGCTCTCGCGCCCGGGCCGCGAAGAGCGCGGCGGCGGCCCTCGGGCGCGAGGAGCGGGCGGCGGGCGCGGGATCGTCGGGGGGGGGGTGCGGGCCTCGGGTCCGGAGGGGGCCAGGGGCGCGGCAGGGGCGGGCAGAGGGGGCGGGCGGAGGAGGGGGGAGGATGCGGGAGGGGGACAGGGTGTGGGGGAGGCGTGGAGGAGGGCTAGGGGAGCGAACAATGACATACACATAATATTTCAGAGGTCCGCGCGGATTTCTCGGATCGGCGCTGGGGCCCCGGCGTGGATAGGGGAACAGAAAGTGGCATAAACATAAGAACTCGGAGGTCCGCGCGGATTTCTGGGATTGGCGCTGGACCCCCCTCCCTGGCGCGCGGAGCGCGCCAGGGGCGGCGCCAGAGGCCGCCGACGGGGGGCCCCAGCGCCGATCCAGAAATCCGCGCGGACCTCCGAGTTTTTATGTTTATGTCACTTCTCGTTCCCTAGGACAAGCGGGTGGGGGGGAGGCGTGGGGAAGGGCCAGGGGAACGAAAAATTACATAAACATCAAAACTCGGAGGTCCGCGCGGATTTCTCGGATCGGCGCTGGGGCCCCCGGGCGGCGCCTCTGGCGCCGCCCCCTGGCGCGCTCCGCGACGCCAGGGAGGGGGGTCAGCGCCGATCCCAGAAATCCGCGCGGACCTCCGAGTTTTACAGTTTATGTCATTCTTTGTTCCCCTAGAGGCGTGGAGGAGGGCGGCGGTGGAGTGCGGGACAGTTCGGCCAGGGAAGAAAGCCGCATCCTTCCTTTTCCGTTTCCTTGCCTCCCCTTCCTCCGAAAGCGCCCGCCAGTTTTGCTTACTTCGCCTGCACCTGTTGTTCCCGTCCCTCCTTCTGCGTGCTGCGCGATGTCTCCTTTCCCCCCCTTCCCCACCCCCTTTGCGAGTCCTAAGGCCAGGGCGGGTTCACACTGGGATAAACGCAATCCCAACTTTTATAAATCAGAGGCAGCAGCGTGGAATGGGGATTCCCCGCTGCACTGTCCCGGCGGAGAGCCGCGTCCTCCTCCTCCTCCTCGCCCTCCTCCTCCTCCTACTCTTCATTTATCCTCATTACCTCGCCTCCGCCTCCTCCACCCTCCTTCCTCCCTCTCCTCCTACCTGCTACTCCTCCTCCCTCCTCCTAGCACTCCCCTCCTCATACATAATCAGCTTCTCCTTCCTCTCCGCCTACCTCCTCCCTTCCTCGAGTCCGTCCTCCTCCTTCCCAATTGCTCCTCCTACGCATCCTCCTCCTCCTCCTCCTCCTCCTCCTCCTCCTCCTCCTCCTCCTCCTCCTCCTCCCCCTCGTCCTGCTCATTGGCCTCCCCTTCTTTCTTCGCAACCTCCTGGTCCTCCATATTCCTATCGAGCCATCGGGTCCCCTCCTCCTTCGGTGCCTGCTCCTACAACCCCCTGGAACACGACCACAGCCGCATCCCCCTCGTGATTGCCGTCGTCCTCCTCCTCTTCCTACTCCTCCTCCTCCTCCTCTGCCTCCTCCGCCCCCTCCTCTCCTCTCCCTCCTCCTCCCCTACTCATCCTCCTCCTGCCTCCTCTCCTTCCTCCTCCTCCGCCTCCTCCTATACGTCGTTTCTCCCCCTCGTACCGCTATTGGCCTCCCCTTCTTTCTCCGCAACCTCCTGGTCCTCAATATTCTCCTCGGGAGCCATCGGGTACCACTCCTCCCTTCGGTCGGGCCTGATCACTACAACCCCCTTGGAACACGACCACAGCCGCATCCCCTTGTGATTGCCGTAGTCCTCCTCCTCCCTCTTCCTTCTCCTCCTCCTCCTCCGCCTCCTCCTCCTCCTCCGCCTCTCCCTCCTCCTCCTCCTCCTCCTCCTCCTCCCCGCTCCTCCTCCCCCTCGTCCTCATCGGCCTCCCCCTCGTCCTCATCGGCCTCCCCCTCCTCCTTCGCAACCTCCTGGCCCTCCAAATTCCTATCGAGCCATCGGGTCCCCTGTTCCATCGGCGCCTGCTCCTACAACCACCTGGAACACGACCACCGCCGCATCCCCCTCGTCGTCGTCCTCCTCCTCCTCCTCCTCCTCCTGGCCATTCTGCCCATCCTCCTCTTCCCGCTCTCTCTCCTCCTCCTCTTCCTAGCCCGCCTCCTCCTAACTTATCCTCCTCCTCATCCTCCTCCTGTCTCCTCCTACTCCTTCTCCCGCCTCCTCCTCCCCTCCTCCTCCTCTCCTCATCCCATCATCTCCTCCTCTTTATAATTCTCATACCTCTCTCTCTCCTGTGATACTCCGTCCCTCTCTCCTTCCTCCATCCTCCCCTCCTGATCATCCTCCATCTCCCTTCCTCCTCCATCCCTCTCCCCTCCCTACTCCCTCCCTCCCTCCCTCCCTCCTCCCCCCCTCCTCCCTCCTTCCTTCCTCCTCCATCCCACCCTCCTTCCTCCTCAGATTCTCTGCAGAAGGACCGCAGGTGAGCGGACACCGAAACGAGAATGTGCACATGAGGGCAAAGTGACCCATGATATGTGTGTGTATTCGAGGTGAACTGTGTCGCCCAGTTGCGGTTACGGTTGCGCGAGCGGGTGGGTTAAAATGTTTCGCCCGTTTGCAATTGCGGTTGCGGTTGCGCGGGCGGGTTGAATTATGCCATTTGGTTGCGGTTGCGGTTGCGCGGGCTGGTTGACATGTTTCGCCCGTTTGCGGTTGCGGTTGTGGTTGCGCGCGCGGGCGGGTTGAGATATGTCGCCCGGTTGCGGTTTCAGTTGCGGTTGCGCGGGCGGGTTGAAATGTGTCGCCCCATTGCGGTTGCGGTTGCGGTTGCGCGGGCGGGTTGAAAGTGTCGCCCGGTTGCGGTTGCGGTTGCGCGGGCGGGTTGACATGTGTCGCCCAGTTGCGGTTGCGGTTGCGGTGCGGTTGCGGTTGCGCGGGCGGGTTGAAATGTGTCGCCCGGTTGCGGTTGCGGTTGCGGTTGCGCGGGCGGGTTGAAATGTGTCGCCTGGTTGCGGTTGCGGTTGCGGTTGCGCGGGCGGGTTGAAATGTGTCGCCCGATTGCGGTTGCGGTTGCGCGCGCGGTCGCGTTGCAATGTGTCGCCCAGTTGCGGTTGCGGTTGCGTTTGCGCGGGCGGGTTGAATTGTGCCGCCTGGTTGCGGTTGCGGTTGCGCGAGTGGGTTGAAATGTGTCGCTCGGTTGCGGTTGCGGTTGCTCGCGTGGGCAGGTTGAAATGTGTCGCCCGGTTGCGGTTGCGGTTGCGGTTGCGCGGGCGGGTTGACATGTGTCGCCGGCTGAGATTGCGGTTGCGGTTGCGCGGGCGGGTTGCAATGTGTCGCCCGGTTGCGGTTGCGGTTGCGGTTGCTCGCGCGGCCGGGTTGAAATGTGTCGCCCAGTTGGGGTTGCGGTTGCGGTTGCGCGCGCGGGTTGAAATGTGTCGCACGGTTGCTGTTGCGGTTGCGCGTGCGGGCGGGTTGAAATGTGTCGCCCGGTTGCGGTTCCGCGCGCGGGCGGTTTGAAATATGTTGACAGAAGAAATGTTTGACGTTCAGTCGGTCAGTCAGTCAGTCACACCGGCGGGCACGGGATTTCACCTGGCTCTGCTGGGAAACAAATGATCTCTCGGTGCAGGTGTCGGCTTTCTGTCTTCCCAGTAATGAAGGAAGCTCCAGAAGCTTGGGCGCCCTCTCGTCCCATCAGTGTCTAAGAGACTTCGCGCCCGCCTTTCTGCGGGTAAGTTGCCACCCGACCTCCAGGCATAGCTCGAACAAGGGGGCAGCTTCCTGAGGTCGGCTTTTGTTGGGTCGCTGGCAGGGGCATGCAACCTCTGTCGGCCGCGACAGAGGTCTCCCTGGATGAAATCGGCCTCGGTTTTTCCAACCCGTTGAGGATGTCTTCAAGGAATCTTCTCTCCGCAGACAGGCGAGAGGTAAGAGGATCGCTGTGCACAGATCGCCTCGCGTCAGGAAAATAACACGACGGATGGTTTTCGCCCCTTGTTTTGTTTTGAGGTGGCCCTCGCGTGGCCTGGGGCCGTCACAAGAAACGGCGCAGCATGGAAAACGGTCCCGGAGAAAGGGCCGACGTTGCGAAACCATCATGGATCATGGCGCAACACAGCCAGGGCGACCTGTTTGTTTAGGATGTGTTCGGCGTCCAGGGGCCGTGTCCGAGCCCACGGGCAGTCAAATCACGGCGGGGGATGAACAACCGGCCCTGGGGAAGGGGTGGAGATTCCTGGATACCGACGTCACGAACAACACACTGGCTTTGCTAAGTGGGGGACAGAGAATTAGGGAGACAGGATGTGTGTACCTCTGGTTCACCTGCGGGGCCCAACGGGGCTTCTTTTTGGGCACTTTTCGGGCCTCTTGCCTGTAACCCTCGGTTCCCCCCATGTATCGCCCCGATGGCAATACGCAAGGAAATATGAAGCGTCAGAGGAGAGGGGATCAGGATGAGGAGGAGGAGGAAGGGGAGGACGAGGAGGAGGAAAGGCAGGCGAAGGAGGCGGAGGAGGAGGAGGAGGAGGAGGAGGAGGAGATCGGTGCACGAGTATAGTATGCGCACCAAGAAACTATGTCCTCCCAACGGGCGCCCCACGCAAATTTCAGATCTCCCGATGGGCCCCCAGAGCCCTGGTGTACTTTGCGAAGCTCAGAGTCCACGAGTGACGTGCCGCGAGATTTCTTGAAGAGCTCTGGCCACCTGTGCCCGCTAAACTTCCTCCCGAGTGTTCGATCGCGTGCTCAGCCGACCGAGCTCCCCCCCCAGGACATGACGCTGCACCGCTTCTTCTGCCTCGCCATGCCCGGGGCTTCAGAGCCCGACATCGGGGAGCAGACGAGCTGTGCCTGAACCCAGGCCATCCCGTTCCCGGACTCCATCTGTATGACGTCTTCAATCCAGCGGTCTTCCTGAGATTTCGGCCTCTGGGGCCCGTCATCGAGCCCAGGGGCCATCACACACACGGATCCGAGACGAACATTTGGCCTTGGGGAGTCGGCGTCGGGGCGCGGATGGGGAAAACACACACAGTCGGATGTCTGAAGCAATATCACGGCGGCTGGCTCCTGAGCATCTTCTGCACCCCCCCCGGGCCTTTGCTGGGCCCTGGGGCCGTCAGAAAAGGGCCCGGGCCACCAGAGGGGGGCACGACGTGTTCCGCCTCTTGGAGATCGAGGATCGACAGGACGGATCGAGGATCGATCAGGCTTTGAAGTTTTTGGGGCGCTTCTGGGAGTCCTGGGGGGCATTCAAGGTTGAACGCCGCCAGCGGTCCCCCGAATCGGCAAGCATGGAACGATCTGGCGATCGAAACGCTGGCGATCCTTCAAGGTTCGACTATCCTCCTCCTCCTCCTCCGCCTCCTCCTCCTCTGCCTCCTCCTCCTCCTCCGCCCCCTCCTCCTCGTCCTCCTCCTCCTCCTCCTCCTCCACTTTCTCCTCCTCCTCCTCGTCCTCCTCCTCCACTTTCTCCTCCTCCTCCTCCTCCTCGGGGCGGCGGCGGGGGGTGGACAGAACCCCGAACAGTGACACGTCGATTAGTGAATTGTCCGTTTTCGGTTCTCGAGAGGGCGCCGTGGCCGTCATTTTCCAGTCTTGCGCCCGCCAGGTTTGTGCCTCAGGTCGTTTTCACTAAATCACGTTTTGCTAAAGGGGGTCTGTCCATCCCCGAGTTAAGCCTTTCTGGCTGAGACCGTCTTGTGCTGCTGCATCGGCTGTATGCTCTGAGAGCACCGGTCCGTTGGCAGAAGTCTCTTTGGCTCTAAGAACATGTGTGGTATATGCCTACAATCGTGCAGGGACGGTCGGTCCCTGTGCTCAGGGAAGGAGAGGCACTCCTCGTGAGCTCCCCAGACATCGAGTTCATGTGCCGCAGGGCCCTGAGGACGCCACGGGCAACCAGAACTCCGCCAATGCGACTGTCTCAATCCTGTTACCTGTTTTTTGGTTCATTTCGGCCTTGGGGGCCCGCTCATGGGACCCAGGGCCATCGGGATCGGATCCAGGCTGCAGGACTGCCTCGGTGGAAGGGGTCGGGACCTCCGGGGCGCCCACTGAAAAAAAGCAGATCGCCGGATGTCTGGGGACGTCAACTGACCACCTCGCCTCGCTTACCCTGGCCAGGTCGATCAGCCATTTCCAAGGGTGCCCTTGCATCCCGTCCCCCCGCGGCCCATCCGAGCCTTCCACTGTGGGCCATGGGCTTCCCGCCTCGGCTTCAGACTGGGCGCCCCAGGGCCTCGAGTTCTCACCGCGCATCCTCCTGATCCGGGCGCACAGTGTGTACATCGACCGTGGGCTCAACGTCTTGACTTTGTCACGGGGTGGCTCCCCAGAGGTCTGGACTCCTTCACCGGGGCCCGCTTTCCAGCCGGGGCAGTTTCCTGTCGGCCGCTCCCCGGGGCCAGTGACAGTGAGGGCTTCTCCGGGGGACGACTGTGCTCGAGACTTCCAGTCGTGCCTCTGCACGACGCGGGGCTCTCAGGGCCTCTGTGGGCCTCGCCGGGCCTCCCCCGGCGAGGACGCTGCGGGGGCACGACGTGGTGGGCTCCCAGCAGCGGGCCGGCGCGGGGTCCGTGAAGCAGGTCGGCCTGCGCGTGGTGCCGCTGGCCTGAGGCGGCCTCGGCGCGCCGCGCCCTCCCGGGGGGCGCCGCGTTGTCTCCGGGTGCAGCCCCGCCCCTCCGCCCCGATCGGGGCGCCCGGGGCGTGCGGCCGGGGCCTCTCGCCGCCTCCGGGCCCGGGCGTGCCGCCGGCGCCCCGCGGGTGGCTCGGCCCGTTTTTCCCGTCCGCATGCCGGGCTCCTCTCGCCACCCACCAAGAGATACACCCCCGCCCAGCCCGAAGGCCTCGATTTGTGCCCTCCCTCTCCAGTGGGGGGGGGGGTTCGGGGAACATCGAGAAGATCCATAGGCCATATGGAAACCGGGCCGGACGAAAGGGGGGGATTGGGAAAGGGGGGGTACGAAATCTGCTGCATGCAGCTGGTTTCGGCCCCACCGAGGGGCCCATTCCTCGATACATAGCCGCCTCTGGCGCCGGGAGGCGCCGGGAACATCAGCTACGTGAGCTGATTCTCAAACTCCCCCTTTGCTATCCCCCCCTTTCGCCCAGCCCGAGGAAACCGTACCCCTCCCCCCCAACTTCCCCGTTTTGTTGTCCCCGCCTCCGCCCGCAGGGGCGCCAGGTCTGGAGTCTGGGCACCGCCTCGAGGCCTTCCGCCCGAGGCCCGAGGACGGTGCTGCATTGCCGATGCATCAGTGATGTGAGTCGATGTGGAGCCCGATCGCCTCCACGTCGACGTCGCCGGTGCATCGCCGACGTCGCCGATGCATCGGCGATGCATCAGCGATGCAGCGGGATCCTCGGGCCCCATCTACTCGGACCCCATTGGGGATTCCTCTATCTCTATGTCCGGGCGCAGATGTTTCATCGGCGCCGACTGGCTCACCCTGCTGTTCCCCGCCTGCGCCAGCCTTCCCGTATAGTGGGCCCATGCCAAGACGCACCCTGCTTGCCTCCTGGGTGCCCTGGGTTTCTTAGGTGTCGATGGTGTTGCAATGGAAAAAACGTGACGCTCCCACACCAAACATCGATGGTCGTTCCGTGGCCGTAGGGTTGGGTTTCTCGTGTTCGGGCCCCCACAATCACGTGCCTGTGTTAGCAGAGGTCGAGGTTCGCGGCCACATCAGGTCCCCGCCTGTGTCAGGAGGGGCGCCATAATCACGCCCCTGGCCTGAGCCCCTCCACGTGCGGGCCCGGGCGTGCAGTCTGCGACCTCCTGCTCCTCGTCTGCACGCCACGGGTGACCCCCCGCTGGACTCACCCTTCGTGCGTGCCCACGGGGGCCCTCCGATCGAGGACTCTGGTGCGATGGAAGCGGCTGGCGGGCTTTTGGCCCTGGGCCCCCGCGTCCCTCTTGGAGGCGCTGCTCGCCGGAGGCCCCTCACTGCGCAGGGCCCCCCCTGTGACGACCGGTTGTGGCAACCACGCTGCCGAGCTGCCGATTTCGAGCCAGAGTGGACTGGATTACGGCATCGCGTATCGTCCCCTCAGCTTTCCTCCTTCTCCTCCTCCTCCTCCTCCTCCTCCTCCTCCTCCTCCTCCTCCTCGAGGAAAAAAAATTGAGGGGAAGTGTCGCTGGAAAAAAAATTGCGAAGGGTCGCCCCTGGCGCGTGGCCGACCTCCGGTCGTCCCGCCCGGCGTGCCTTAAGGGCCGCTCCCTGGCCGGTTCCCCGAGGGCCCGTCCGTCTGGCGCGCGCGTGCACGGCCTCCACGGCCTGAGCCTGCTCCGCCGCCCGCGGCCCCTTCCCCTTCCCCCCCCCCCCCGACCTTCCAGAGAGCTATCTTTTAGCACGGGAGGCCAAAAAACATAAAACAAACTGAACGAAACAGCCTAAAACCAAGACATAGAATAGCTCTGGGATCGGGGTTTTAAGTCGCGTGCTATGTTTTAGCCCTCCTGGAAGGTCAGGGCCCTTTTTCCCCGTGCCGCACGGTTCGCCACGGAGAGGCGCCCCGCCGGCCAATACTTTTTTGTTGTTTTTTTTGTGTTTGTCCTTTTGTTGTGTTCTGTTTTGTTTACTTGTTGCTCGACCGCTGGATGATCCAGTGCCTCGCCGGGCCACGGCGCTCGCAGCTCTCCACGCTTCGGATGGCGCGTCTCAGGGTGGGAGGAGAGGAGGAGCAGGAGGGAGGAGGAGGAGGAGGAGGAGGAGGAGGAGGAGGAGGAGGAGGAGGAGGAGCAGGAGGAGGAGGAGGAGGGGGGGGGGGGGTACATGCCGAGTTCCCATGTTTTTGGCTACGCGGTTTGACTCCTGTTTTATGGGTCCACGACTTGGTCGATTCGTGGCCGGAGGGCCAGGCCATTTTTGAAGGAGCATTCGATGCAGGAGGGCGCGTGCCCTTAGGCGCTGATGATCGGGTCGGGTCGGACGGGAGTGGGGGGGATTGTACTGACGATAAGCGCCTCCGTCGTTGCGGATGGGGTTGCGCCATTGTCCAGGGAGGCCATGTGGTAGGCAGAGCGTACGGCACCCTCCCAGGACGGATCCAGACGGTTCCCCTAGCGGAGCTGGTCGGTATCACCGTAGCTTTGCAACGCACTATTGGTGAATGTCATTTTGTGCTCGACTTCTTTCTTTCTTGTTTTTGCCCTGTCTTGCTTTTCCTCTTTTCTCTTGCTTGCTTTTTTTTTTTCTATTTTGCTTGTTTGTGCTTCCTTTTTTCTTCTCGCTTTTTTTTTCTCGCATTGTTGTCTTTTTGCTTTTGTCCTATTTTCCTTCTTACTTCTTTGTGCTTTACCGTTGGCCTTTCATAACAGAGTGTGATTGATGGGATTCGTCATGGACCCCAATGGAAGCACGAGGCTAATTCGGCTGCGTGGCTCGATTTCTGGGAGGCCTATGAAGGCCATCCAGGGCCGTGCCAATTTAAAAAGGTAAAGTCCCACCTCGAAGAAGGGGATGTGGGGGTCCACATTACCCGGGAAGATTTTACCGCCAACCAGGCCGCGGATGAGTGTGCCAGTGAAGGGGCGCGCATGGCCAGGCTCCCGCAGCATATCATCCAGCAGGTAATCGACATAGATAATAAAGCTGTCCGCGTGCAGAGGCGCCTGACAGAAGTCGCTCTGCAAGTGGCTATCCAGACCCCATCCCTATACTCGGCCACCTCTAGAGCTGATCTTGTGGCCCGCAGTCGAGCGTCCAGGGCCCAGCGTCAATCGAACGTTGAGCAAGCACTGCAGGAGACCACACACAGCGTGATCGAGAAGGGGGGGTATAAATTGTGTATTGTCTGCCGCGGGCGCCCTACCAAAGAGTGTGGGACGCTGGAGTGGCTTGCCTTGCTTTGCCCAGGTCGGCCGCACCAGATCCATCAGAGCCACGATGTGTCTTGTACTCGTGAACTCTGGTGGTGTCGCAAGTGTGGGGCTTACAGCAGTGCGAAGATAAGCGCAGGGTTGCAAGGCACCTGCCACCGCCCAACAGACTGGGGCAAGAAGGTGCTGTCCAAACTCATGGATGGCCGCCTCCCCCCAGGTCTGAAGGCCTGGCCAGACGAGCTTGGCAAGGGGCTGGGTGCAGGGTAGTTTCACGCGCGCGCGCCGTCCCTCCGCGTCATGTGCGGACCTGGGGACTTGGAGTGTGCGCCAGGAGGAGGAGGAGGAGGAGGAGGAGGAGGAGAAGGAGGAGGAGGAGGAGCAGGAGCAGGAGGAGCAGGAGGAGGAGGAGGAGGGAGGAGGAGGAGGAGGAGAGGAGGAGGAGGGGGGGGGGTGGGGGCGGATGTAGGGCGGGGCAGAGCAGAGGGCGCCCCTAAACGGGCCCTGATGGGGGCCCTGAGGGCCCCGAGCCGGAGGGCACCATTCCACCCCCCCCCCCCACGAACTCGCGCCCCACGAGCTCGCGCCCAGCACCCCTGCGTGTGGCCGACTTCCCCCCCTGTCCCCCCTGCCCGCTCCCCTCCCCCGCGGCGGACGCACGGCGCCCCGCCCGATCCGCGCGGGCCGCGCTCGGCCGCGCCAGCGCGGGGCCACCGGGGCCCTGCGGTGGCGATCGAGCGCCGCCCCTGGGGGTCGAGGGTGGCCGCGGCAGCTCTGTGGACCTCCCCCAGCTGAGAGATCCCCGAGGCGACGAGCGAACCGCACGCACTCCTACCCACAAGGGGTGTGTGTCGATGGGAGGACGGCTGTGGGTATAGAGAGGTGCGTGCGGGCTGTCGGACCCCAGGGGGGGCTCCTGTTCGAGCGGGGGCGCCATCCGAGAACACGCACCCTTAGCCCTCTCCGTCCCCCTATGGGTACAGACGGGGCGCTGACGAAGGAACCCTTTTCGTGTGGGAGGGGCTCCGTGTTCCTTAAGTGTTTCACAGCTTGCCTCTGGCTTTCCTTTTGTTCTTTAAAAAATCCATCTGTGGTGTGGGTCCTCGTTTTGAGGAGACGTCCGCCCCGCGTTCCTCCTCATCCTTCTACTCCTCCCTTCTCCCCCTCCCTCCCCCTCCAAACCCGTATCTGCACACCCCTCACACGTTTCGTGGCCCTATAGGGAGCTCCACCGAAGGCCCCAGTGGCTGCGCCCGCATGCGGTTCCACCCCCCATTCTGGCACACCCCTCGCACGGTTCGTGGCCCCATAGGGAGCTCCACCGAAGGCCCCAGTGGTTGCGCCCGCATGCGGATCCATCCCCCGTTCTGGCGCATCCCTCACACGTTTCGTGGCCCCATAGGGAGCTCCACCGAAGGCCCCAGTGGCTGCGCCCGCATGCGGTTCCACCCCCCTATTCTGGCACACCCCTCACACGTTTCGTGGCCCCATAGGGAGCTCCACCGAAGGCCCCAGTGGCGCATGACTTCCCATCTTTCTTCTTGCCTTTTTGCGGCCCGCATGCGGTTCCACCCCCCATTCTGGCACACCCCTCACACGTTACGTGGCCCCATAGGGAGCTCCACCGAAGGCCCCAGTGGCTGCGCCCGCATGCGGTTCCACCCCCATTCTGGCACACCCCTCACACGTTTCGTGGCCCCATAGGGAGCTCCACCGAAGGCCCCAGTGGCTGCGCCCGCATGCGGTTCCACCCCCAATTCTGGCACACCCCTCACACGTTTCGTGGCCCCATAGGGAGCTCCACCGAAGGCCCCAGTGGCTGCGCCCGCATGCGGTTCCACCCCCCAGTTTGGCACACCCCTTTTTTTGTTTTCCCTTTTTTTTTTTTTTTCTTTTTTTTTTTTTTTTTTTTTTTTTTTTTTTTTTTCTTTTTTTTTGCTTTTTTTTTTTTTTTTTTTTCAAAGTTTCTTGGGCATTTCTCTCCTTTTTTTTTATTGCTTCTCTTCCTTTTCTGTTTTCCATATTTGCCCCATAGGGAGCTCCACCGAAGGCCCCAGCGGCTGCGCTCGCATGCGGTTCCACCCTCCATTCTGGCACACCTCTCACACGTTTCGTGGCCCCATAGGGAGCTCCACCGAAGGCCCCAGTGGCTGCGCCCGCATGCGGTTCCACCCTCCATTCTGGCACACCCCTCACACGTTTCGTGGCCCCATAGGGAGCTCCACCGAAGGCCCCAGTGGCTGCGCCCGCATGCGGTTCCACCCCCATTCTGGCACACCCCTCACACGTTTCTTGGCCCCATAGGGAGCTCCACCGAAGGCCCCAGTGGCTGCGCCCGCATGCGGTTCCACCCCCCATTCTGGCACACCCCTCACACGTTTCGTGGCCCCATAGGGAGCTCCACCGAAGGCCCCAGTGGCTGCGCCCGCATGCGGTTCCACCCCCCATTTCGGCACACCCCTCACACGTTTCGTGGCCCCATAGGGAGCTCCACCGAAGGCCCCAGTGGCTGCGCCCGCATGCGGTTCCACCCCCCATTTCGGCACACCCCTCACACGCTTCGTGGGTGGCTCCATGGGGAGCTCCACCGAACGCCCCAGTGGCTGCGCTCGCATGTGGTTCCCCCCCCATTTCGGCACACCCCTCACACGGTTCGTGGCCCCATAGAGAGCTCCACCGAAGGCCCCAGTGGCTGCGCTCGCATGCGGTTCCACCCCCTTTTTCGGCACGCCCTTCACACGTCTCGTGGCCCCATAGGGAGCTCCACCGAACGCCGCAGTGGCTGCGCTCGCATGCGGTTCCGCCCCCCATTTCGGCACACCCCTCACACGTTTCGTGGCTCCATAGGGAGCTCCACCGAAGGCCCCAGTGGCTGCGCTGGCATGCGGTTCCACACCCCATTCTGGTACACCCCTCGCACGCTTCGTGGCCCCATAGGGGGCTCCACCAAAGGTCCCAGTGGCACTGCCCGGTTGGGTCCGCCACCACCCAGCACAGCCCTTGTTCCCTGCGTTTCACCCACCCAGAACAGCGCTTCGTAACCGTATAGGGAGCTCCACCAAAGGTCCCAGCGGCACCGCCCGCATGCGTCCGCCACCACCCTGCGCAGCCCTTGCTCCCTGCCTGCGTTTCACCCACCCAGTACAGCGTTTCGTGGCCCCATAGGGAGCTCCACCGAAGGTCCCAGTGGCACCGCTCGCATGCGTCCGCCACCACGCAGCACAGCCCTTGCTGACCGCGTCTCACCCACCCAGTACAGCGTTTCGTGGCCCCATAGGGAGCTCCACCGAAGGTCCCAGTGGCACCGCCCGCATGCGTCCGCCACCACCCAGCACAATTGGAGCATTCACAACTGCATATGGTTGGGTCCTTCGCCAGGCTAATTTTCGACAGGAAATCGAAGGTTAACTTATGGAAAAAAGGGGCCTCGTTCCTTATCTAAGGTTCCTTAGGTCAACGCCCCGACTGTATGGGTGTTTGCTGCTCGCTCGTCCAGATCATCCGACGATCTTATTTTTATTCAGCCCCGGCGTGTTTTCTCGACTTCGAGCAGCGGGGCCCTGTATCGGGCCGGAGGCGGAGGAGGAGGAGGAGGAGGAGGAGGAGGAGGAGGAGGAGGAGGAGGAGGAGGAGGAGGAGGGGGAGGGGGAGGGGGAGGAGGAGGAGGAGGAGGAGGGAGGAGGGGAGGGGAGGAGGAGGAGGAGGAGGAGGAGGAGGAGGAGGAGGAGGAGGAGGACCCTATGGCCATCGGGAACGGATCGGGGAAGAAGAATCGCCCGCGTGGAAGGGGTCGAGGCCTCCAGGGGACCGCGGATTGTAAACATACATTTCGTCGGATGTTTGGTGATCCAGGCGGCGAAGTATTTTCTCACCGGCTTCAGATGTGCAGGACCTTCGGGGATCGATCCGACGTGCGAACTGACGCAGGAAGATAGGGTCTACAAAGTTCGGGCCGCGATCTGCAGCAACTGTTCCGTGCCGTCGGATTTCAAGGTCTGAGCGCTCTACCAGTGGCACGGGGTCGACTTATCACCGATGGGACCGTTCTGCTGACGGCCCTGGGTCTCCCTAACGGCATGACCCGTCGGACCATTTCCTCCGACGCCATTTTTGTTTTTCGTGACACGGGGATATGGACCCCTTCCCCAGGCCCGGCTTTCCATATCAGGGGCAGGGAAACAGCTTCGACGAGGCCGAAGACGCCAACGAAAACGGCCGTCACGTTTCTTTTCCCCGTCGACCTGGTTCAGGGGGAGGTCCGGAGAACGCTGCTGGCCGCGCGAAAGGTACGCTTGCCGAGCGATTTTCCCTCTGAGTGCGCGCTGTGCACCAGGGAGTGGCGCGCAGGGGGCGGCATGACGGGTCGCAGAACCCAGGTCTCCGACAATATGATCTTTGAAGTGGGTCTTTCTGAAAGTTTTTGTTTGACATGCACAATGCACTTCTTTGCATTGTCGTAGAGGCTAAATACCAAAGGCCGCTGAAGGCTACTAAAGGCTGCTAACGGCCGCTGAAGGCCACTAAAGGCTGCCACAAGGCAACTAAGTAATACAAGCAATGAAAGGCCGCTAATATAACGCACTGAAATCCACGAAAGGCCTCTAAAGGCTAGTAACCGTGACGGTACATGTTAGACTGAGTTTTGAAATTGACTCACCTAAAATGGGCCATGACACATGGGGACGGCAAATTACCTCAGGGGAAGGGGTCGGGAGCTTTGTGGATTGAAGCAAGTAGCTTGGATGATGTTTGAGAACCCTCCCGATCGAGATGCCTCCTTTGAAGCCTCCAGGCCTTTTAGGAAGGCCTTCTCAGAAGAGCCCCCCTCGCGCCACACTCCCCTATTTCCAGGACCTCGGGCGTCGTGCTCTTGTCCGTATAGTGCCGTTTTTAATACATGCTCCGCGTGCGGATCATGCATTAAAAAGTGCAGGGATTTAGTATTGACAGCAACGAGGGGTTCAGACATCAATTTATGCCTAAATTAATCATGTGTTGAAATCCCATGTTTTTTTCGAAACAAAAAAATCCTATGTACTAATAGCTGCCCTGTAATTTGTGCGTCCAGCAAGATCTGGACCCCCCGGCTCTTCGTCCGGGAGTCGCCCTTTCACGGTCCAGGGGGCCATGCGAGGGCCCTATAGCGGCAGACAAACTCGTCAGACATTTCCGCCGCGACCTCCTCACGACGTGCACGACGGCAGAGTGTCAGGGCTCGTGTCGGGGGCGGAAACGAGAGGGGTGATGACAACGGGGGGGGGGAGATCATGGCGGGGGCACTGATCTTTCCCCAGATCTCATGGCGCCTCTTCTTGTTTCATTACGTCCCTGGCCCCCCCGCTGCGCCGCGCACATGCCGCCGCCGGCCATGTTTTGCACCCCCCCCTCTTGGACACCCCCCTCTTGGCCGCTCCCGATCGTGCGCGCCGCCTGGTAATCGGAGGAAAGACAAAGCGACACCAGCATCAGCAGGGGTGCCACCTACAGCGAGAAGGTCCACGATGCCTCCCCGAGCTGGGGATGATTCAGGAAGGTGCCGAGCGTCAGGGGGGAGCCACCACCAGAAGGGCTACCCTTTCCTCCTCTCGCTGATGGTGGTGGTGTCTCGTCCCTGAGGTCCGGCGACGCGAGAACATGCAACATCGTGAACAATCACGACAAGAGCACGGGATCTGATCATTCGGCTCCATAATTCGAGCCCGACCGGTATGTGAGGGGTTTGGGGCCCCACACTGGGCGAAAACGCCAGGCCCGACAAGCATGGAGACGCCGAGGTCGAAGGGTTTTGATTGTTCTCGGCGTCACCCCAACATAGACGCGCGCACCGGGAAATCCTGTAGCATGAGCTCCAAGGCGAGCGCTCGATTTACAGTCGAGCATATGATTAGGAAGCCTCCCCCCTACATGCTGGGCCCAGCGTCTCTTAACCAACTTGCCAGATAGCTGGCCCAGTTTCTTGAGCACGTTCGCCTCCCCCAGCGTTCACAGCAGAAATTGGCCCAGGGGTCTTTCCATCAGAAGCCTCTGGGAAGCTGGCCGTGATCTCTTGAAGGATGCTTTGCTCGATCAGATGTCCGGCTGTATTTCAAGATCGGTGTACTAGATTCAGGAGGTAAAGAAACACACAGACACAATTAATCGTCGACTCCCAGGAAAATATGTGAAAATAAGAGAAGTGGGGGGGAAGACGAAAACCCAGAAAATATCGGAAAATATGGGGAATATTTGTTATTTGTATGTATTTATTTGTGTGTCCTGGGGCCCCTTCATAGATGTCCAGGTCGGACGCACGCCTCCAAGGAGGACGTACAGTACCAGTATGCCCTTGTGCGTCCCGCGCTCCCCGGTGCACACGCGCGCGCGCGCGCCGCAGCTCCGCTCGGCGCCGCCAGCGCCAGCAGCGGGGCCCTTCAAGCAGCGCGCGCGCGCGCTCGCGCGTGGCGCGCGCGGCGGAGAGCTCTGCGGGCCGGCGCTGAGGCGGCTCGCCCGGTCGTCGGCGCTCGAGCGCGACCGCAGGGGGGCGCGACGAACGGGGGGGGGGGCGGCCAGCGAGGGCCGGAGAGCAGGGGCCTTCTGTAATTAGGGCCCCTCCCTGACCTCCCAGAGAGCTATTTTTCAGCACGGGGGGCCGATAAAAAAAACAGAACGAAACAGCCTAAAACCAAGACATGTAATAGCTCTGGGATCGGTTTTGAAGTCGCGTGCTATTTTTGTTAGCCCTCCTGGAAGGTCAGGGCTGAAGGGGCCCCGTGAAGCTCCGAAGGGGGCCCGGAGGGCCCGAGGCGGACACCTCTGTCCACCCCCCCTTTCTCGCCCCCCCTTTGGAGTCGCGCCCAGTGCGGCCCCGCGCGTTGACCATGTGCTGCTCGCCCGGCGCACTGCAAAGGAGGAGGAGGAGGAGGAGGAGGAGGAGGAGGAGGAGGAGGAGGGGGAGGAGGAGGAGGAGGAGAGAGGAGGACGAGAGGAGGAGAGGAGGAGGAGGAGGAGGAGGAGAAGGAGAGGAGGAGGAGGAGGAGGAGGAGGAGGAGGAGGAAGGAGGAGGAGGAGGAGGAGGAGGAGGAGGAGGAGGAGGAGGAGGAGGAGAGAGGGAGGAGGAGGAGGACGAGGGACGAGGAGGAGGAGGAGGAGGAGGAGGAGGAGGAGGAGGAGGGAGGAGGAGGATAGGACGAGGAGGACGAGGAGGAAGAGGAGGAGGAGGGAGGAGGAGGAGGAGGAGGAGAAGGAGGAGGAGGAGGAGGAGGAGGAGGAGGAGGAGGAGGAGGAGGAGGAGAGGGAGGAGGAGGAGGACGAGGACGAGGAGGAGGACGAGGAGGAGGAGGAGGAGGAGGAGGAGGAGGAGGATCTGCTTCTGTCTGGCCAGGCCTGGGCCTTGGGATCTCCTGGCGGCGCAATGTGTTGTCCGAGCCGGGCGTCTTCGCCGGGCTGCGGGCCCCCCGGGGGCCTCAGGGATCGACCCTGCTCGGAAAACTGGGCAACGCGCAGAGGGGGGTAGGGGGAGGGGGGAGGGCTTCTTAGAAGCACCCCAGCTTCTTAGAAGGCGCGGGCCTTCTCTATAGACGTAAGGCCGAGGCCTTCTAAGAAGCAGGGTGCTTCTAAGAAGCCTTCCCCCCTCCCCCTACCCCCGTGTGCGCGCCGCCAAAGAACGGCTCGTGATTTCTCACGACGTGACTATTCTTTCAGCACGTCGGCCGTCGGTCGCGACTGGTCGCGACCGATTCTGGAGTCGGTCGCGATCGGTCGCAGCGGAAAAATCCGGAATCCAATCAATTATTTGGGCGGTGGACATCGGTTCCACAGCCTTCCGGGCTGCCCTGAGAGCCTTCTAGGATGCTCTGAGATTGCCGCGGCGCCCGAGACATCCTTCGAACCCGCTGAGTCTCAGAGATTCTCGATTTGGATCGGTCCGGTTTTGCCTCGTTCCAGCTCTCGTCTTAGGGGCGGGGCGGAGCGATCGCGCGACAGGGCGGCGCAAGGCGCGCGACAGCGCCGTGGTGGATCCGTGCGGCGGCCCTCAGCGGCGGCGAGCTTCGCGAAGAAGCCCCGCCGGCGCGGCTCCAGAGTGGGCTCAGTATCGTCCAACCACCAAAAAGCAATGGGACGTCCTGGGGTCTCAGGGTTGGGTTTTCTGTGGAAGGTCTCCGGTTTCTTGTGGTCGAGCTCCTACTGGATCCCCATCTCGGCGGCGAGCGAGGGGGGGAGTGAGAAGGATAAGGCCTCCTCAGAAGGCGGCGGGGCGTCCGAGCCTTCTGAGCAGGCCCGCCTTCCCCCCCTCCCGCGCCGCCGAACTTCCTGTCCCCACCCCCACCGGGCAGTGCCATCTCAGTCCCACCATTCCACCCATCGCACGTTGGGAAGAGGCCCTCGAAACCCGAAGGCAACGGCCTGCATTCCCATTTGGGGGTGGTCCCAGACATCGGACGCTCCAATTTTTTCGATGCGTGGGCCCTGGAGGTCTGGACCACTTCCCAAGGGCCGTTTTTTGTTCGTCCCGAATCGTGTTTTGACGCTCCCGAGGCCTGGCGAGGGCACCCGGAGGCCGAAGACGGCCAAGCACGCCGACCAGATTTTTGTTGGAACACCGGACCTCTAGGATCATCGGCCAGTGCGGTCAAGGCCATGCCGGCGTGGAAGGGATCGGTGAAGCGATGCTCATGGGCGTGTATAGCTTGAGCAGGGGCCGCGCGCCCCAGTAGTTCTCCTCCTCCTCTTCCTCCTCGTCCTCCTCCTCCTGCTCCTGCTCCTTCTTCTGCGCCCCCTTGTCCTCCCCCTCACCCTCATCCTCCCACTCCTCCTCCTTGTTCTCCTCCTCCTCATCCTTCTCCTCCTCCTCCTCCTCCTCCTCCTCCTCCTCTTTCTCTTTCTCATTCCCCCCTTCACTTTGTCCTCCTCCTCCTCCTTCTCCTCCTCCTCCTCCTTCTCCTCCTCCTCCTTCTCTTCCCCCTCCGCCTCCTCCTCCTCCTCCTCCGCCTCCGCCTCCGCCTCCCCCTCCTCATCCGCCTCTTCCTCCTCCTCTTCTTACCGTGGGATACCCTGATATTCCGGCGTTGCACGTTTTTCACTGCAGGCGCTTTCGCTCGGTTGCGGGCCTCGGGGGTCTCACAGATGTCAGCGGCTCGCAGGATGGAGCAGCAAGATTGGGTATACGGCTCTGGTCGTGATGTTTCGCGATGCTATATGTTTTGACACGTCGTCTTGCTCACGGCCCTCCTCACGCAGCACTCGAGGATGGTGTTCTTGGCGCGCCGATGACGGCAACACCATTCCACTCTCCCTGTGGGACCGCGCCCCCTGATCCAGTCCATGGCGCACCTTTTCCTGTGCAAGATCTTCGGCGCCGCCTGTTTTCTGAGCCCTCCGGCCGCCTCAGGCCCCGCCCGCCTGCGCCCTGTCTCCCTAATTAGGGCCACCCGCGTCCCGCTTAGCTCTTGACCGGAAGGGGCCCGCTCCCGACCCGCCGACCAAAAAAGTTTTGACACGTCGGATCTCAGGGGCTGCACCGACCTCCAGTCGCCCACCCCTCGCCGGCAGGGCCCCGATGGCCCCGACACGGCCCAGGAGCGCGCGGCTGTGTGGTCGGGGGCCTCGGGCCGATGCTTCCCCCCCCCCCCGAGCTCCGAGCGGGTCCCCCGCATGGTGCCTCGTCATCGCATCCTTCCTCCTCATCCAGAGACCCAGGCCTCAAGCAGTGGCGAAGCGTCCCGGCTCGCCTACTATGGCCCCACCAAGCAATGTTCTAAGAACCTTTTGTGGCTCCCTCGAAATGTTCTTAGAACAGTTCTGGCGGAGTCTGCCTTGTTTTGTCACATCGGGTTGATGTTCTAAGAACAGTGTTTTTGTTCTTGGAACATTTTGGGGTTCTAAAAACATTTCGTGGTATGACTATCGGAATGCCCGGACGGTCGGTCCCTGCTCAAAAGCCTCCGCGCGCCCTGGGCGTGTCACGACGGGAGGTATCTGTCTGTGCGCTCGGCCTCCAGGGGCCCTCGCGGGGCCCCGGGCCGCGGGTCCGTCAGACAGCTGCTCGGGGTGCAGAGCTGCCCCCAAGAAGGCGGGGGCCCAGCTCTTTCGGTCCACGCTTCGAAGGAGTTACGACGTCGGAGGTCTGGGGCAAAGGCGGAAGCCTTCCCCCGCGACGATCCCAGCCCATATAAGTGGCGTGTGCTGGACAGTCCTGGGCGTTGGCTATAAGCCTTACTGTGCAGCCCTTTCCTGCTCGATTTAAGTCGGGCATGTCCCTCTACAGGAGGAATCTTCAAGAATAGCAGAACGACAGTCTGGTGACGATTTTGGCTGCTCTTTCGGCCAGGTTTTGATTCATTCGTTTCTCCTCTTTGCTTATCTTTCTTTCAAAATCCGCCCGTAGGCGGACATGCCCGACCTCATTCAGAGCGTGAATTACCTACCCCGCTTTCGCTTCCAGGCAAAACCAAGTCATACCACGCGACTCCTCGTCACGCGGCCTGACCAGTACAGGCCATAGTTTGGCATCGCTTGGTATCTCTTGGAAGCGAGGGTGGTCAAAAGCGAGGTCGGTTTGTTTGCCCCCTACTCATGCTCGATTCCTCGATCAGGTGCGTCTGCTGGCATCTGTTCTCGGGGTGCCTCGTCTGAGGCCTGGCTCTGCGGCCCTCTCCTCCAGAGCCGGATCTCCGACGAGGTGACCCCCAAGCAGCGCTTGCACTTGAGGAGGAGGAGGAGGGGGGGGAGGAGGAGGAGGAGGAGGAGGAGGAGGAGGAGGGATGAGGGAGGAGGAGGGAGGAGGAGGAGGGGAGGGGAGGAGGAAGGAGGAGGGAGGAGGAGGAGGAGGAAGTGAAGGAGAGGAAGGAGGAGGGAGGAGGGAGGGGGAGGGGGAAGGAGGAGGAGGAGGAGGAGGGAGAGGAGGATGAGGAGGCGGAGGAGGAGGAGGGGGGGAGGAGGGGGAGGAGGAGGGGGAGGAGGAGGGGGAGGAGTATGTGTCGCAAGCGGGGCTGCGGGCCCGGCGGCTCCGTTCGTGTCCGCTGCCGCCTCTTGCTGTTCCCAGTGGGAGGCTCATAGTGGCCTTTCCTTTGGAGACGAAAAGGGGAGCGCGCCGAAATCCATTCCAAACGAAATTGCGTTGTTTTTCAGTTTTTGTTTGCTTACTTCGTTGTGCAGGCGCGCATTGCCGTGCGGTGGTTTGGCTAGTACATGCTAGAGTGCATTTAACTTCACAGAGTACGCGCCGCTCACTTCTCACATTACGCATGCTATCACGCGCAAGTGGCCCGTTCCGCGAGCTTGTTCGCATGTGCTTGTGGGCGAGGTCCACGCGGCGTGCGAATTTGATTGCGTTGGCTTTTTGCTGCGCGGGCCAGGCTGGTGTTTTTCTGCAGTGCTTCGGGTGGCGCTCTGGTGATTGGGGATGGGCGTCGCGCGCCGCCGTGCGGATTGTTTCGGCGCCTCGGCGCAGCGTTTGGGCTGACACCCCGTTGCGGGGACTGCAAGCGCCGGGTTGCAAGGTCGGGGTCGCCGCTTTGGCATGCGTTGTTGAATCGTTGCCTTGCCGTAGGAGCAGGGGCGGCGCCCAGGTGTCAGCCCTAGGCCGACACCTTGATGCGGGCACTGTTTCATCAACTTGCGCATGGGCTTGGTCAGCGCCCTGATCAGTATCGAGCTTGCGCGCGCTTGCAAGCGTTCGCGCGTGGGGGATAGAGGCGCCGTTCGTTCTGTGTCGGCAGGGTTATGGCCCTGCTGTAGGGGGTGGGTTGTCGTCGTGCTGCGGGGTCTCGGCTGGCGTTTGCGCGGGGAGCTGGCGCTGGCGCGCCGATGTCAAGGTTTTGGCGCATCACCCCGCTCGCGCGGCAGAACCTTGCGCCCTGCCGCGGCGGGCGCGCTCCGGCTGGAACACCGACGGGGAGCGGGGC